CCTTTTTAACAAATGGTGTTGGCAAAATTGGAAAAATATCTGCAAAAGACTCAAGCAAGACCCACACCTCACTCCATACACAAAAACCAACTCAAGATGGATCATGGACCTAGGACTAAAACCAAGGACTATAAACTTCATTACGGAAAAGCTAGGAACAACACTAGAAGTCCTAATCCACAACATAGTCCATCTGTATTCAAAATGTCCCAGCTGTTATGTATTAGTTTATTTTGTAATGTTTTACAAAATAAACTAATCCAAATCTAAATAAATTGCATTTGGTTGATAATAATAGTTGTGTCTCTCTCTTTCACTTGAGTCTATTGGTTTGTCTTTCTATCTCATTCATTCTATAAGGGTTTTTTTAAGATTTTAGCACACATTTTAATGAACACAATTTAATAAATAACAGACCGTATAGGGTATACTGTTGGGTATTTTTTTATCCTCACATCTCATTCTGCTTTAGAGACTAGCCTTTTTTTAATTAATTAATGAACATTTACAGAGACTTAGGGTTTCCATTCATTCATTGTTAACTTTTCTCCCTGCCTACCCCCTCCCCTCAATTCACTCTTCTCCTTGAAAAGTAAAAGAAAACCCCTTTCATGGTTATGCAATCCCTCCCCCCAACTCCACTCCACTGTGCAGCCCTCATTGTAGACTCCTGTCATGACAACAATACCCAATCCTATATCCCTTTTAAACAGTTCTCCCCCTCATCTGTTTCAATGCAGTGTACATCATTCATTCTCTCCTCTGTCTTCCCTCAACCCTGATGTCAGTCCCATTTTATAACAGTGGTCTTACACAATATTTGTTCTTTTGTGACTGAGATATTTCACTCAGCATAATGTCCTCCAGGGTCACCCATTTTGTATAATATTTCATGAGTTCCTTGTTCAGTGCTGCATAGTATTCCATTGTGGGAATACACCAGAACTTCTCTATCCATTTATTTGTTGACGGGCACTTGGGTTGTTTCCAACTCTTTGCTATTGCAAATAAAGCCACGATAAACATGGGTGTGCATATATCTGCTTGGGTGGCAGTTATGGTTTCTTTAAGGTAAATTCCCACTAGTGGATTTTCTGGGTCAATTGGTATTTCTATTTGCAACTTTTTGAGAAAACTCTGTCTTATTTTGGGCAGGTGGCCAGGAGGGACCTATACTAATCCTTGGAGAAGGATGTCATGCTCTGAAGCTTGGAGGGATGGTGCAAGAGAGGAAGAGCCCAGATGAGATAAATTGATACAGTAACTGGGGCAGTGAGGTTTGGGTGTATACGGATCAGACTGGCTCAGAACAGGATAGGCTTCAGAGCTGCTTTAGGTGGTGTCAGTGTCGTCGTTATGGGTTGCCGGTGACTCGAATGGCACATAATGACAACAGCCCCATGATGTCTTTTACATTATTCTGCCCTCTTAGACTTTTTGCAGATTGAAAGTTGGAGCCTAGAGGCTTGGTTTGAGTTCCGATTCATATTCATCCCTGCAAAGATACTTCATACCTCATATACTATTCCATCAGGGCATACTTTGTCTTATTGGCTCTTTGTTATGTTATTAACTATGTAATTAAGAGCTGAAGATAGTAATATAATTCTTTTTTCCCTTTCTCCTTTGTTGTTGTCATCATTATTTACGCTGGGCGTATTTATGGCATATATATGGTTAGAAAAACAGCTGTTTAACATTTCTGTCTACTTCTCCTTTTTTCTAATCGTCCAAAGACACATTTCTTAATTTTTAAAAAATTTTTATTTTATTATTGCGCGCGCGTGTTGTGTGTGTGTGTGTGTGTGTGTGTGTGTGTCTGTGTCTGTTTACACCATCAAATCTGATCTGACTGGTACAGGAGGAGATTGTCCCTCCTCCAGCAGAGCATCTGGTGGATTCGAACTGCCTACCTCTGGGATTGTAGTGCATCTTCTTGCCACTAGGCCACTAGCGCTCACCCATTTCTTAAAATATTTTTATGATGCATCTCTATTTCACCTTTTTACCTACATCATTCCATTTAGATCTGGTTCTGATTGTTAAATCATGTCATTACCATTTTATTAAAATGATTCCTGAATACAAAGAATCCTTTTTAGACCATATTTTGTTTGATAGTTGGACAACCTTGAATATTGTTAATTGCTGATTGTCTTTCCTTAAAATATTTTAGCTTCTATATTTTCTCTCCTTTTGTGCACTTACCTTTTTAACTACTGCTTCTAAGCAGCAGTCATAAATGAACTCTTTTGCTCCCTGTCATTCAAGTATTGTTGGTGCTTTGCCTAGCTCTGATCTCAGTGTAGAGAGCTCTCGTGACCTAATGGTAAGAAGCTGCACTGCAATCCCAAAGGCACTCAGTTCAAATCTGCCAGCTACTCCACAGGAGAAGGTTGGACATTCTCTTCCCATGTTATTTACTGCCTCTAAAACCGCACTGGAGGATCAACTTTGCATTTGTTCCCACTCAACAGTACACAACAGCCATCTCAGCGTAGGCACTGTGCTCATTCATCTCGCCTACACATTCTTCATGGATCGGCTCATTTATTGCCATGGCTTCAGTAATCTATAAGCCAGTACCACCAAATCCCTCCCCCCACCCCGGTAAGTTGTCTCTCTTCAAAGTTAACTTGTTTGTGTAATTTTCTACAGGAAATTTTACAGATACCTTGCAATCAGCATCTAAAATAGAATTAATTTGTATGAGTTTCCTGTTAACTGATTTCCAGGCTAGAAATCTACTGTGGGAGGTGGGGGAAAATCTCCTTCCTTGAAGATTGACAGTCTTAAATCTTTGTATGCAGTGCTCCTCAGACCTGTGGTTGCTATGAGCTTGGAAGTAACTCAGTAGCAAAAAGAGTTTGTTAATATTTCCTGGACTTCATTGGGGATTCTTGCTCATGTATGTCTATTTGTGAAATTGGAGACCTGAGTAGTGATTATTTAAGAAATACTTAATTCTTTATCCCACTGTTTCACTGTTACCTTTATATATTTCCTCTGAGTTAACAGAGTATCTTTTTATTTTTTTGAGGCATATTCCCATTGAATTTTTTTTTCACATTCATTCATTGTTGTACATTTTCCTCCCTATCCACCCCTCCCACCCCGTTCTCTTTTCTCTTTGAAAAGAAAAAAAAATTCTTCCAGTGTTATACACTCTTCCGAGCCCCACCCCCCCCTCAAGTACACAGTCCACTTTACTTGCATTTCTTTTTCTGGAATTTAACAGAATATATTTAGATTAAAACAAAACTTGAGTGAATGTTTACAGAGAAAATTGGTTTCAAATAAATTCATACGCATATTGTTTGGACTGAATGACATAGATTGTAAGTCCTCACAGTCTTAACAGTACTCAATCTCCCTGCCTCTTTCCTCTGTTAATGCCCGTCTTTCCCATCCTTTCCTGCCTTCTGAACTTTATCCCTGTGCAGATGATTGTTTTAAGGAGTACACACTTTCATGTTTTGTTAGCTGTACAGGTCTGTATGTTGTTTGTCCTAAATTTGAGCTAAGGAGATGAGTTTAGTTCCAGACTTGAAAGGTGACTTAACCAGAGTCCTTGAGGATCTTAGCAGTTTCCGCCAAAACAGTAAATCTCTTGTATTTATGATTTTTCATTTTGGTTTTTTTCTCGCATTCTGTTCCAAGACCATCTTAGAGCCCTTTCAGAGCAGTCAGTAATGGTCACTAAACATCATTAGTTCTTCTGGTTTCAGGGTTGTGGAGAATGATCCATTGGACCTTTAAACTAATTATTTCTATGCATCTTTGATTTTCTTTGCTCCAGAGAATCAGGATTAATAGTTGCACCTTAGATTACCGCTCATAAACTTTTAAAACCACTTCTGATCAAATCAGGATGTAGACACGGTCTTTGTTGACTGAGTTATGTCATTTGACCTTTATGTACCCTGTTAACCCATATACCTTTTAGACATTGTATAGAAATTGATATTATGTAGTTTGCATTATATAGACCTGAAATGATGTTTAATAATTTTAAAAACTAGAGAAATTAATTCCTGTGTGAACACATAGAATCTAGGTAGCTATTTAATTTTTTATTTTTAAAATGCTTCTAAGGAACGAAAAATAAATAGATATAAAATTGGTTTCTTGATTAAGAGGACATTAATTTTATTTTGTTGATATTTAAATAACAAATCATTTCAGCTATTTAGTGTTACTGCTGGCTGACATTCAGCCTTGAAATTCAATGATCTGGTTTTTTTTTTGTTGTTGTTGTTTTTTAATGATCTGTTTTTAGTTTATGGAATTTTTTTTCTGTTTAACTTTTTTCCAGTGTACTTTTTTTTAAATTAAGACATTTTTTTATTTTGAAAAATTAAACAGATTTATAATCTTCTTTGGAAGCAGGAGTGACATCCACTTCCTAAATAACAACATGCCTCCAGAAACTATGACCTTTGATAAATATCTATAGTTATAGAGGGGCTTTAGGCCTTTTGTTCATAGGGTCGCTGTGAGTCATGCTTGACTCACCAACAACAGCATAGTCTTCTAGATTTGAAATAAATTTAATACCGTGTGTTTTCGCATTAATTGAAAATGTTATCTACTATTTATATTAGCATCACAGTAAAGCTTATCTTTTAAAATCTGTACTATGAATAATAAATTAGAAATAATATAAACTTTATGTGAAAGAAATAATCCTTTTTTCTCTCTCTCTTTTTCCATAGGTGGAATGAACCTTACTTGTTGACTGTCTCCAGGCTACTTGTTGGATCCACTTCTGAAAGGATCATTTTCTTCTGTGTGGAAGCCACTTAGTGGCATATTTAATTCTAAATCCAGAGATCACAAAGCTTTTGATTTCCCAAAGGAGGGAGCTACCACTATATCAAATAAGCTTGACGTTAACAGCCAAAATGGTGCTGTCCCAGAGACAACGAGATGAACTGTAAGTTACTCTGGGGTTTTGTGCTTTCTTCTGTGTATCAGCTTCAAGGTTGAAACAGCAGACCTTTCATTTCATTTAGCAACCCAAGAGTCTGTTGTACCACTAAGGGCTCATGTAAGCTGTTATGAAACACAAATCAGTCCAAATCAGCCCAGTTCACTGTTAATGAGTCTGTTTCAACTCATAACAACCCTGCTCCTGCTGTTCAATAGAAAGATAGGTGCTTCATTTTTCCCCCCCTGTAATTCTTATATTAGAAAAAGGAAAATGTTTTTGTTTCTGTTACTGGTATTGCCTATCCTTCACTTTGTGTTATATATATATAATTCTAACAGTTTATGCAGATACACTTATTGGAGATGTGTGAAATAGTGCTATATTATTGCATTCATTTTTATTTAAAAAAATTTTATATTGATTTGTTTGTAGCCTATTTTTATATTTAAAGAATACTTGCAAATAAAGGTAAAATTTGAATAGATTTTCATATAAACAAACTGTCATTAGTATTTTAAGTTAAATAAGAGAAATTCTTGATTAGATTTCTCTACACTTTTCTGCCTAGGTGTCCATAGCATTATTTTTCTTTATATTCACTAAAATCTATTCTTTTGCTTCCATCTTCTCTGCTAAGAGGAAGTTAGACTGAGAAGTCCAGAATGAACCTTGGTAAGAGAATTAAACATAAGGTGCATAGCAGGATTTAAAGAGAATGTCTGACTACTTTGAATGAATTCAGGTCTTATGAATAAATATGTTCCTGATTATAGAAAGAATGAAATATCTAAGAGGGAAAAAGGTGTATGCTTGTGAATTTGACGTTTACTTTTAAGTTGTTACTATTATTTCCCATTGCTCAACTTTGAGCCAAATAATAGGCCTATACGGTGAGTGATAGCACTAAAGTATACATTCCTTAGAACAATCAGCCATGGCAACTTGGCAGCTTTTCTCAGAGGTAAAGCTCAGAAGACAGGAAAAGATAGTAGAGAATGAGTAATGGAATGGCAAGCAGAAGTTAGACGAGCACCTTTATATTGTGGGGATTGTTATCAATGTCACGAAACAAAATATATAAATTGTTGGCTAGAAAATCTGTTTGCTCTGTAAATTTGAACTCACATCACTAAAAATGTGAAATAAAAATTATCATTACTGATCTAGCATGGATTTGCTAAGAGTAAATTAGATCAGATGTAGTTAAGAATTAAATACCTAAGGGAGCTCTAGTGGCCAGTGGCAAGAAGCTGCACTGCAATCCCAAAGGGTCATGGTTTGAATCCACCAGATACTCCACTGGAGAAGTTTGGATCCAATTCAATTCGATGGTACACAACAAGAAAAAAAGAAAAAAATCAAATACTTGATGAACGGAAAAGTCGTATAAAAATATATTAACAATATTTAATAATATTAAAAATATTATTTCTTTAATGTTTTTTTCTTCACTCCCAGTGCATTTAAGGGCAGTTCTGGTAATATTTGATATTTTGTGCATGTTTGTTATCGGTTGTGTTGGATGAGTATATACACACAGTATTTAGTCAGTCTTAGATTACACAAAATGGTATTAAGACTCTAAATAAAATGTGTACATAAATTGCAACATTAGGTAGAGGTTTTTTTGCCTAATAATTAGATATTTGTTTTAGTATGTAGTGTATTTTTTTTCCATAAAGTAAAAATGAAACACGTACAAAAACCAATTAATGCATTAAACTCTTCCTGGTACAGTAAAAAATCTCCATAATAATAAAATAATAGCAATAATGTATATAACATTTTGATGCATATCACAAAATTAGCACTCATTTGTTAATACAAGCAATTGTATGTACCTCAGAATTTTAAGGTAATAGACTTTTTTGGGGTAGAGCTACAATTGCATGTAAGATAAGGTAAAAGTTTATAACCTAAAGAGACTGTTTCTTGGTTTTCACAAAAGCTTTTAAGGAGCATCCTTAGAGGGGGGTGGGGTGGGGGGGAGTGGGGGTGTAACTGTGGATTGAATGACAGTGAGACATTTGTCTTATTTCAAACTTCAAAAATAACAGCAGGCACTCTTTAAGTTTTATAAATTACATAAAACTATAAAATACATTTAACTGAATCAGAAATTCGACCATAAAAACGAGTAAATTTAGTAAAAGCAAATACTGGGGTTTAAAATTAAGACATGCCTTAAAGATTTGAGATATTAATAAATCCATTGCTTTGAGATGAGTTACTATAAAAGGAGATTTGATTAAAGAATGATTCTTTATTTTTGCTATTTTAATCACTTTGTAACTTTAAAGTTAAATGGAGCCTTCCTGGTAACATCTTGCATTTCAGTGTTACATTTGTTAAATTGAAGAACCAACATTGACATATCTTATTATCCAGCATCTATAGTTTATATCAAGGTTCACTCTTTGTATGACTGTTTCACTTATTTATTTTTCATTTTTGTTGTGATTTGAATGAAAATTTAGAGCAATATTGTTTTCCAGTAAAAGGGAAAAAAGTATTTTCAGATTCCATCTTTAAACAACCCACTGTTAACCGTTTTTCTTTTATAAGGCATTTTTATGCTTTAATTTTATAACTAAGTCATCTGTGATTTTTGTTTCAATTTATTCATTTTTTTACCATTCTCTCGTGGTTTGGGTGAAAGTTTACAGAGTCAATTAGTTTCCCAGGCAGAAATTCACATTTTATTTCATTGTATTAATTACAACCTCCTCAGTGTAATAGCACTCTTGCCACTTTCTCCTCAGGTTCCCTGATTCCATTTACTTACCATTCTTGCCCTGAATTTTGGTTTTGGGGAACTCCTGACCTTCAGGTATAGTTGATTGTTCTGAGGAACACATTACTTACAGGTGTTGACTGTTCACATTATTGAGCTATTATTGTTTGGCTGAAAGATCATCTCTGAAAATGAGTTGAATTTCAGTTTTTGAAGACTAAGGACCATTAATCTCTGGAGTTCCACCCATTTTTGTCCCTTTTTTTTTTCTTTATAATTTTTAATTTTTCTATACATTTTTACGAAAGCAAAGAGCTAGAAACAACCCAGGTGCCCGTTAACTGAGAATGGCTAAAGAAACGCTGTTACAGATTCCCATGATGGAGAATTATGCAACACTAAAAAATGGTCAAGAATTTATTAAATACTGCACAGTGTGGGTGAAATGAAATTATACTGAGAGACAAAAGACAGTTAAGATGTAAGACCACTAATATAAAAGCCAAGAAATAGTTTATAACACAGAATCAATCTTGGAGGATTTACAGGAGAAATGAGGGCAATGGGTGCAAAATTTATTTAATACCTATTGCTGTTGCTGTGATGGTGAACACTGTGACACTGATGTGTCAAATGTGATAATGGTTACCTGGGGTGGACAGTGTTTGATGGAGCTCCCATACTAAAACAGGTTTGAAAGCAGGAGTGACATCCATTTCTGAAATAGCTTGCCTCTGGAAGCTCTGTGAACTTAGAGAAAGGATGAAAGTTAAACAAGTGTTCAGGTCTTTCATTCATAGGGTTGCTATTAGTCTACGGTTTTTACCAGCACTTAACAGCAACAACCTGTTTTAGCAAAATGCATAAAAAATAGAAAGTGGGTACCAGATATAATTTTTTAAATAGTACATCTCCCTACTATATTCATCTATATTAACTATAATTAGGGGAATGGGGCAGGCTGGGGAAACACAGAAAAAAATCTCACACAAATATATTTTTAATATTTTTTCTGTTATCAGAAATAAACCAGTAAACAAAGCTCATATTTCATTTTATTAAAATTATGACATTATTGAGTCTTCAAAAGTATATTTCAGCTTTTGTTAAGAGTGATATGTAGACATATCTAAATATCAAGAGACAGTGAGAAAGTTAAATTCCTGAAATTCCTAATATGTACGTGATTTTGGAGACCATCCAAAGCCTAGGATTCAGGTGAGCTATAAGAATGAAAAAAGAACAGAGGACAGGTGAAGGACTCCTCAGGCAGGGCTGGAATCGTTGCTATGCATTAAGCCTTGATTATACTAAATTCTGACACATCCTTTACTAGCAGTAGTCTACTAAGCACCGCTCTGTCTATTTTTCAGCCATATACTACAGGGGATACTTGTTATGAATATGACCTAATTTTATCTTTTATGCTTCTGATGTTTGACTTAACTACTGGTGGGCTTCCTGGTTTTAATTGTCTTCTAATCTGCTTGTGTACTCTGATAAGTAGATCTTTGAAAGAGAACTTTCTGGTCTTTTTATCATAGAGTCTAATTTTTAAAAAATTACATTTTTCTGACCTTGAATGTCCTTTGTCATCTGTTTTGTTGTCATCTGTTTCACTCAGTACCACCTCATTTCTAAAATTTATCTGTTACTTACGTGAATTGTTTTTAGAAGAGTTTTAATAATAGTGGAGATTATAGCTATCTTTGTCTTGTTTTTTACTTTAATACAGATATTTCCAGGGATTCACCATTATTTTAGTAGTGACAACTCCCTATGCAGTATTCCACCAACTACAATATTCTAAATGAAGCTTACAGTTAAATAAAAAGGCTATCATAAAATTATTATTTAAAAAAATAATCTATTGGCATCTGGTTGATTCCAGCTTATGGCTACACTAAATAGACCTGCTCTGAACAATTTGCTTAGATAAAATCCTATCTTCCACAGGTACTACTGGTTGGGTTCAAATTGCCAACTTTTAAATTTTTTGTTGTTATGTGTGCTGTTGAGTTGGAATCAACTCTGAGCCGACGACCTTCCAGCAGGTTTTCAGAGGTGGTAAATTGCATGGAAATTGATTACATACCTTTCTCCCACAGTGCAGTTGGTGAATTCGAACTATGGGCATGTTTAGGCTGACACTGGAGCTTCTTATCACTAGGCCAGCAGAGGTCCCTCTTTTAATAATCAGTGCAGTCCATTTGCGCCCCTAGGGATCCTACTGTCTCACTGCTGTAGAGTCAGTTCCATGTACTTGGGAGCAGAGTGCCTTGTCTTTTGTCTGCGGGACAATTAGTGGGTTTGAAAAGAAGAAATTTAGGTTTGCAGCCCAATTATAAACCTGTTTAGGAAAAAGTGGAAAAAAAATCTTGCCGTTTTTCTGAAGAACTGAGGCAAGCTCTCTTTGTCTTTGGAGAAATAGCTGATCTCTGGCTTAACAAATCATGGATCTTTAAAATTTAATGTCAGCATCTCCAGTCTATTCCCTAATAAACCACCACTGTGATAGTGGAAACCTCAATATCAGTTCATATATGTATCAGTAATTTAAGAAACTTGGGCACCCATCAACAAATGAATGGATATTAAAAACTGTAATACAACGGTGAACACATAAAACATTACACAACAGTGGCGAGCCTGAAGGACATTATGTTGAGTGAAATACCTGTCACAAAATGACAAATACTGCTTAACACCGCATTATAAAATAGAACAGACATGAGGGGATTGAGGAAAGAATGAAAAGAGTGGATAGTGAACACTGCATTAGATCAGATGAGGGGAAGAACTTTCCAAAAGGAATATATGATTAGGCATTCTATGTATGACAACAATCTAGAATATTATTGTGCTTTATAGGAAGGGATGGGGCAAGAAAATGTACAACAGTGGAAGAAGAAAATCAAGACAGTTTTGATGT